TCTCAGAGGGAAAGTTATTTATAAGAACCGTTTCCATGTAATACATGCCGTTCCCGAAATTCTCGGAAATATCAACCAGATATTACTTCCAGGAGACCGCGCAACTTGGAAAAATAAAATAAAAAAGCAGCGCAAAAAGCATCTGACAAAGTATGGAAAATTTGTAGATATTCCATAAGATTGTCGAAAGGGGCTTTGGAAACAAAGGAATTTCGGTTTCAAAAGACGAAAGTTAATCCAACACTGGATTCATGAAACAATATCATCACACAACAATATCCCAACAATATCATCACACAGACGTGACGTCTGGGCTTGTGCTGCAGGTTTTTATTTATTGTCTATTCGAGTCAATTCTGCCGCTTTACTAAATAATTACAGTTCAGTATATCTTACGGAATTCGCAATTTCCCAGAATGTAGACATTATAAGTTTATAACATAACAGGGCGATCGTGACTTGATTTCATGCGTTGGAAACACATTCTGGAAACTGTGGATCATTCCCGACCTTCATAATCCAGGCTCTACAATCGTCCATCGAATGTTTTCACTCAAATACAGAACGGCAGTGATTATAAAACGCACCTGAATTTCGAAGGAGCAAACGAAACAGTCAACGAATGTAAGGAACACCTAAAAAGTTGAATCACAATGAACTCCTATGAAAAATATGAATTCTTTGATACCGCTCATGATTACCAAGAAACCATCTTCATGCATTAAAAATAAAGATGTATGTGGATTCTGGATATTGTGTACTTGAGCTGCGAAGTTAGCAAGGACTTATTTGATTCAAGGATCGGATTTGATTTATATTCAAAAGATTGTTTTTTCTAGAAGTCATAAGAGACTTTACTTACAAGTATGAGGCACTATCGAGCATATGAAATACAGCGAATTCAATTTTTAAACCGATTATTGCGAGAGAGAAAAATGCTCATTGAATTCCATCAAATGCGGCGAGTCTTTTGATTTCAAGGTCTTCGGTCCATCTATTTAAGAGTTATCTTTCATTCAATTTCAGCGTCTTCCTTTTTCTGATCAAGGAACTTTGAAAATACCCTTTTACGGTACAACATTTTAATTTCCGGAACACCATCACGAATGAGATCGAAAAAATCCTCAATTTCAGCAAAAGGGATCTCACCTCGATTCTCGTCGCTGGCGGGCTCGTACCCCGGGAAGAAGCAGCGTCACCGTCGTCCACGTCACCATTGCACGACACGGGCGTCGCGCTGCCTCTGGATTTGTCTTCCACATCCACCTCCATCTCTTCCGTGTGGTTCTGCCCGTTCACCGAAGGGTGGTTGCCTTTACCGGCGGCCATTACTGCCGCCCCGGTGGCCGCTGGGCGCCGTTTCTGCTCCTCCGCCTTCAGTTTCCGCACGCTGTCATCGCCACTGAAAGATAATAAAATAGCAGAGGACTCTTGTCAGCATCGACGTACGCATTAAACGAGGTCCAGTATATAAAAATTCGGATCGACCCAAGTTCATTCACGACAAGTATTCTGCATTCCAATTTTGTTTCCCGATGAAAAAATAACGACTTGAGAGCTTTGTTAGAACATTAACTGTACTTGCACTGTACATGGGAATGAAGTTCTTCGGGCACCGAAGTTTTATTGGGAAAATCCTTCCAAACATCTAAACAATGCGGAACTGAAAACAAGGATGACGCGAGTCTCCGTCCATTTGTCAATAATTTCTTCCAATTGAAGCCCTGAATTTATTGTTCACCAACTGATATTGTGGAGTAATGTCAACATTTACCAAAAACACATTTTTATTCACATTGGAAATTGATTTTTTTCAACATATAAAAAAAAGATTGGATCAATTTTTGTCGTGGCTTCATTGAAACGCATCTCGTATTGCCACCTGCAGATTCATGAAGAATTGGCATGTAGCAGGTAAACCGTATTTCTGCACAGGGATGGAGTGCAATTTCAACTCCCGCTATCTTGCCGTTTATTAGGCTGATGGGAGGTCAGGAAATCATCAAATGATTCTGTAGAACTAGGTCAACTCCATATATCCAACAAGACCTCAACAATGAAAGTACAAAAACTTATGAACCTACCCTCATACATATCCGTGGAATTATCGCAGAGAGTTTAGAGTATTTTCTGCGGAAATATTTTTAAAACTCACCAGAATCAAGTCCTGAGTGAATCGTTGCTCCAACTACAGTACAGCATATTCAATAAAAAGTACAACCCGTTTAGGCATTAAAAAATAAGTCCTGTCGCTTATACAAGTGGACTTCCTCTACAATTGTCTACAACGATTTTCTCTGCACAACGAATTATATTTTGTGGTCCCATAGGGTTCTCTCCCCATGTTACAGGAGTTCTCTACAACGAAATTCTCTCAACACATAATTTTATGGTCCCTTGAGATTCGCAGTAGAGAGAGAAGGATAGATTTGAAGGAGACTTCAGGCATGACTAATTCCTCTGAAAGCACCGAAGATCATTATGGGGTAATTCGTTATAGATTCCGATTTCATGATATACCGCGAAATGCATCATTTTTGAATCGATTGTGAGTGTTTCCACGGAAATTTCTTGTGTGCCGAAAGGTACTGAAATTCAAGGCCTTCGAGCTTCTTCGGGGAGCATAAATGCGAAACACAGGCAGACAACTTGGGGCAGGCTTGACGAGGAAACTTATGTGGTCACACGAACCCCATCAGATGCAGCATCTTCTGCAAAAGATGTGCAGTCGCCTTGAACTGAGTTATAAAATCCCACGTTCATCATACAAACGACGTAGTTCGGATTACAGCATTTAAAATGCATGGCAATCATTTTGTTGCGTAGTCGAAAGATGCGAAGGGCGAAACATTCGGTTTGCGGGTACTGTAAAATCTTCCAGGAAAATTATGTTGCTTCCGCTCTATCCGCGAAGCATTCCCCAGCACCCACAGATCTTTAAATTATTCGAAGACTTCGCCTGATCACAAGACAGAATCATCTTACGTCAACTGCTTTTAAAACGGAAATGCATTATACAGTAATTCATCGATTCAATTGCAATACTATTTAAGCTGAAAATTTCCTTTTGTGGTCTCAACAGTGAGGTCAATCTACTCGACTGAAAATTACCGACAGATGAATATTTTACAGTTGATAGCCACAAGGATTTACACAAGGAAAAGCTCGAGTAAACATCGACAGCGACTTCGACTGACTCACGAAATCCCACTGTTTTTTCCGCAGCTCATCAAATTTTTGGCAACGTTGCAATGGATATACAAACAAATTTTAAAAACGCAGAAATGCACATTCATTCACCAGGCCGCAATTTTATCTCGTAGCTTATACACGAGCACAATAGGGTTAGCTAACTTTGTAGATCGCATAATTATGCTTGAAAATGCGGCATTCGATTTCAACCAACAAAATCGTAAAAACGTATCCGAAAATCCGTCATTCAATGAAACTAAGGCATTAATTCTACAGATTATGGCGACAATGTACTGCAATGAACAATAGAATGTCTTTTCCGAAAACACAAAACGAAATATGTCATCAAGCAATCCCCTATGCGGACGAGGACGTATTATAGTATAGGTCTCATTTCCAAAAGAGAAAACAATTTCACGAATCACCATCATAACTTTTTCACTCGATGTTTTTGAGAGGGTAGGTAGATTGAGGATAAATGAGTAGATATCGTACTGTACTTGAAAAAAAAGGGCGGTTGGGAAAAACAACAGCCAAGATATCGAGAAATTGAACCACGGGAATTAACTGAAGTGCTTGCGGGAGACATATAGGGGGTGAGTCGTTAGAGTGAAAGTTCGTTGGCGGATGCTCTACTTTCTTCTTGAGCGGTTTTTTCCGCTCGATTTATATTAATTTTAATTTTATATTTCGAGGGATGCGCAGCGAGTCCCCAACACATGGGTTAAGGCAAAAAAACGCGCCCGGGTTTTCCGTAAGATGAGGAAAACCCGACAGAGCGAGGTTTTTGTGCGTGTACCCGCAGTTCTATCTTACGGCGCTTCTTTATTACAGAGTTATATTTTATGACATGGACACCCGCTTTTCATCCCTACTTCATTACTTCCGTACTTCGTCGTTGACTAAGTTACAGACGCGCTTACGTAATTATCGAGACAGAAAAAAATGGAATACCATAATGTACATAACTAAAAAGCAGCATAAAAGTCAGTAATGATGGAAACAATGAGACCATCACTGTTAAAAAAAAACCACGATTCAACTTCTTCAAACAATTTGAGGCTGCTATTCGTTTTTCATGCGATGCATGAAGCATTCCTGCCTCACGCGGTTTTCGATTTTTACTCATGATGTTCATTTCATCCTTATTTCTGCGGATATCTTTACAGTATTTGTGGAACTTTTTGCACGCATTCTGACTCTTCAGTGGAGGCTTCTTCTTCCCGCAAAAATCGCAAAATTGTCAATCCACGGCAATTTTCACGACATCGGCGTAACTAACAAACGAGCAGTGAGGTAACTGATATTTTTCAGAACCCCTCGATTTTTTTCTTTCAATTCCGGTGAATTCCACAGCGAATAACGTTATCTCGAGATTACTTTATTTTGGTCCAATCCTCAACGTGGATGTAGAAATCGCCGGACGTGCAACCGCAACCAAGATAAAGATAACATCCAGGTAACGCGACTCGAGTTCAATTTCGAAACACGTCGTTCGACACGAATGAATGAAAATTGCGTCCACGTCGGTACTCGTACAATTTAACGTCGAGATAAAACCGTTGAAACAACGTTATCATCAAAGACAAAGAAAATACTGTACTGTCGCATAATTGAGTGTCCGGTTTAATATCTGCTCATCATAAATGAACCCATTACGGCTCTCCCAGACAAAGTTTCTTTGAGCTCTTCCTCGTAAAGTAAAATTATTAAATTTTGGGTCGTTTTGTTGTTACTAACGCCTTATTCTAAAGCAGACGCAATGAAGGATGTTTTTATAGTATTTTATATTTTGAAGACAGACGCCAGATCTCGTCGGCGTGGAGGAGAGCTGACGCAATTTAAATTGCTCGGAACGAACAGAAGCTAACCGTCAAACATTTTTCCTCTTAACAGCAGAGATCGTACATTTCAGAGGCTTAAAACTCGCACACGAAACCAAAAAACCACAGAATGCTCCGTTTTTTTTCTTTCAAATTCACTGAAATCAGTACATTAAAATAACGTTGAGCCCAGCCCTCGAGTAATTTTAATGGCAGACATTTGATTACGTAGTCGAAGTTCGAATTGCTCCCGCAGAAAAAAAGCAAAATATCCCAAGCGTTTAAGCGATATGAAAAAGCTGCTTTTATGAGAACTGGTGCACAGCTTTTCCCATATCCCAGCCACCCACGTCGAGAAATTAATGCAACTCCCCCGACGAGGTNAAACGAGCAGTGAGGTAACTGATATTTTTCAGAACCCCTCGATTTTTTTCTTTCAATTCCGGTGAATTCCACAGCGAATAACGTTATCTCGAGATTACTTTATTTTGGTCCAATCCTCAACGTGGATGTAGAAATCGCCGGACGTGCAACCGCAACCAAGATAAAGATAACATCCAGGTAACGCGACTCGAGTTCAATTTCGAAACACGTCGTTCGACACGAATGAATGAAAATTGCGTCCACGTCGGTACTCGTACAATTTAACGTCGAGATAAAACCGTTGAAACAACGTTATCATCAAAGACAAAGAAAATACTGTACTGTCGCATAATTGAGTGTCCGGTTTAATATCTGCTCATCATAAATGAACCCATTACGGCTCTCCCAGACAAAGTTTCTAACTCGAGAAGGAGCATTTCATTTTAATAATTTAAAACCCAGCAAAACAACAATGATTGCGGAATAAGATTTCGTCTGCGTTACTTCCTACAAAAATATCATAAAATATAAAACTTCTGTCTGCGGTAATCTCGTCGGCGTGAAGGAGAGCTGACGCAATTTAAATTGCTAGGAACGAACAGAAGGAAACCGTCAAACATTTTTACCCACAACAGCACAGATCGAACATTTCAGAGGCTTACAACTCGCACACGAAACCAAAAAACCACAGAATACTACGTTTTTTTCTTTCAAATTCACTGAAATCAGTACATTAAAATAACGTTGAGCCCAGCCCTCGAGTAATTTTAATGGCAGACATTTGATTACGTAGTCGAAGTTCGAATTGCTCCCGCAGAAAAAAAAGCAAAATATCCCAAGCGTTTAAGCGATATGAAAAAGCTGCTTTTATGAGAACTGGTGCACAGCTTTTCCCATATCCCAGCCACCCACGTCGAGAAATTAATGCAACTCCCCCGACGAGGTGCTCGGGCAAGACAGCTGGAGAAAAGAATCCCAATAAACGCGGCCAACCAGGAAAAGAGGCGACCACCCGGACGTCGCGTTATGCGATAGCAAAATTAATTAGGACTGAAATGGACTTGACTAACAGAATGAAATGACTATCAAAACATTGCATCAATTAAAACGGAAAGCATCAAACCCGGCGTCATCATCGTCCGGCCACACTGATGAAATCAATGAAAATTGTTCGGTGAGATGCATATAATTTTCATAAGAAATGTTTCGAAGTAACTTCCGCATTTCATCCGAAATGTGATTAAAATTGATCGTTAAACATGAACGCCTGGCTAAAACGATCATATCCGAACTTAATTTATACTCGTTTAGTCTCGAACTCTACATCACGCGATTTTTTTGCTTCTAGTGTTTTTCATTTAACCAAGAACATAACTCTTGGAACAAAATTGTTCTGAACGTCCGTTGACCATCTCATTTTGAATTTGCGGGGAAAATGAATAATTTACCCAAGATCGTAACAGCCCCCTGCTTCAAGGAATGTCTTTGACAAATCGCAGTGCGTAGCTGAAGACGACCTGTGAACTTATCACCCCATATACGGGGGGGGGGGGGGGGGGGCAAAAAAAAGACTGCGGGGGGGGGGGGGGGGGGGGGGGGGTCCAAAAAAGGTCACGTCGCGTTTCAGATATGATGTTTAGAGCAGAAATTGGCGGTAAATCAGACAAAGCGTTTAAAATGATCGCTTGAAGCAGTACAAATTCAAGACTAGGAATCGTTGCTCTGAAGTCTGAAAACTTCATCAAGAAGCATACCAAAAATTAAAAATCCTTTTAAAGCAACGATCGTGCAGAAGAAGAATCCGAAAGGCATCTGGAACTTGAGATGATGTTTACGTGATGCGTCAGTGACCATTACCCGCACAAACAATTGGTAATCATCATAGAGAAGAAAGAAAAACGCATCAGAGGATCAAATACTGTATTCAATTGAACACAGTACATTTCCGGAGATGCTGCAGCTTGGAACAACAGGTTAATTCGAGTTTATCCGTTCTTATCTCTTCAACTGAACTGAAGCTCAACTCAAAGCTCCCAGCAGCGTCAGAGGAGAAGGAATGGAGAGTGCCTCGGGGCAAAAGATGACGCTTTCCTGTTTCTGCAATCCCAACCGCAACGGATTTGAACGCACTAAAAGGTTTACAATTTCCTACGAGAAGAACCGCACGGCAAATGTTACGAAAGAAATTCAGGGATTAATAATGGCAGGGAAAATAATGTAGGAGAAAAACAACGCAACTGTTTTCGTCCTTCGCCACGACTCGGGAAAAATAAGAGGTAAATTGGGTCACGATATGTGAAACTTGATCGGTTTAAAAAATGAAATCGGCAAAACTTGAGAAAGTGCTTCATGTCAGCCTAGACGGAAATTTCTTTCGCAATGAGTGAAATGCACAAAATTTATAGAAACATGATAGTGAACCATAAAATAAATTCATCGGACACGCATGAATTTCACAGAAACCATGGAATAATGTCGATGCTCAAAAATAAGTCTTTTTACGGAATTTTTTAAAATTGTACCTTACTCTGTGGAAACGAAGACAGGGATGCGGAGACTAGACGCAGATAACGCACGAGAAAAATTGATTTCTTAAATCAATACGTAATGTCGGATTGGTTGGCAACTTCTGTGCAAGACTACCGGTAATTTTATTCGAGAAATCTCAAAATCATGCCAGTTCAACGCGAACAATCAATTTCCGTTAGGATTGAGAATTTACTAACCCAAGCATCGCTGATAATTACAGCCGCATTTTAGAAGCAAGACATTTCCGAAGGGGATTTCGAATTTTCTTAAAAATAGCTGAAAGAATTATAATAAAACCTCTGTCCACATCGTTATCCATGAGCACGAAGATCCCAATCGGACCTGAAGCATTGACCTACAGTACTTCCGTTCTCCATGTCTGAACTACAGGAGTATTCGACGTGAGTTGCAAGAACAATCTGGAGAAGAGTTTCCAAGAGCAATTGAAAAATATTCCTCCGAGCAATCCCTAAATATTCATCAACAAAAATTAGCCGAAATTTGATGCGTGTTTCTGAAGTTTGAGTTCTTGTACAATACTGGAGCTCACGGTGTTTAATTTCTTCTGTTACCGGGACATTTTTCGATTTTATAAATAAAAGTAGGTAATCTGACGCGAAATCATTTGTCTTTTAGCACGAATGCCAAATAGACGCGCACATGACAAGCAGAATATATATACTGTTCTAGAGCTGACCGGGCACTCCACGACTACAAGCTTTAAAACTTTATCTTATGCAGGCAATTTCAATGACAGAATTCCATACCCACTGAAAAATTAGATTCTTCGTGACTAATAATCGCAAATTTCAGAAAAGCTCTGTCAAAGGCTTAAAAACAACAGACATATTCCGACTTCAGGAAACAATAAATGCGAAGGATACCGTACAATGATTTCTTCGATGAATATCGTAAATACTGAATTTTCTCCGAAGTCCTCAAAGCTATCATTTACACCGAGAAACATTCACAGCATACTGCACTCGGAATCCATTTGTCAACGCGACTTCGATTTCCGTCCTAAACTGGATGCTTCAATGTCTCATTCCGTAATGAATTCAAGTCTCGTTTCGGAGGGGTCAAAAATGCAAGCCAACCAACCCAGTAGTGTTTTCGACGCCATGCGCGGGAGAGCCGTTCTTGAGCGGCGCCATGGCGGACTTGACGACAACAACACCCGCGTCGCTGTCACCACCCGCGCCCTCACTCATGCCCGCGGGCTGAATGGTCGGCACTGCTCCGGGCTTCAGCTTCCGGACGCGCTTGTATCCGGTCAGCTCGGCACACAGGTCACGCTCAAAACAGTCCTGCACAAAGTGCGCAGAACACAGGATCGCGGTCCGACTGGGCTCAAAGTCCTCGCTTCGTTTGCAAAAGTCTGCCCAGACCTGGCGCACCGCAGGGTCACGCGGAAATCGGTGCTCACTCACGCCGGAAGAAGCGGTGTTGCTTGATCGGTTCCGGCAGCCCGCTACAGCGCACGACGGCATCCTCCGACCACCATAGCCGTTGAGTGAGTGACCGAGTCGGCGGCACCACAACCACCCCCGGCACCACAACCAACACTCGTCGACAGAATGGCAACGCCGACACCGAACGACTGACTCCACTCACTCACTCGCGATTCAAGACTCAGATTCACTCGCGATTCAATATTAGGGGGTCCTGGCACAGTACATGAGAACGCCGGGAAGTTTTTAATGGCTTTCATTGTTTCAAGTCACCTCGCGAAATGTTTCTTGTCGATCCAAACAAATATTTGAGTCACACACTAGGACGCGAACACTGTTTGATTATTCAATCATTCATTCACTGATTACCGAAACCGTTGCGGTTACATCATCTGATTCATCCCAACAAACGGATAACGTCATTCAAACACAGTTGCAACACTCACGATGATAACGTCAACAAACTTGGTTCCAACGCGTCTCACATGGTCCCGCAATCGCAGATTCTTGATGCAATTTTTGTGTGAACTTTCAGATTTATTTTAAATTGGTGATTCAGCTTTTTTTTTTTTGTTGCCCGAAGCCAAAACATCAAATACTTCAGGCTTCTCGCAGTTACTTAACTGGACAATGCGAGTATACATCAGATCGCAATTCTGTAGCAGTAAAACTTCACGACTTTTGTCAAAACTTATTGTGCCTCAAATGGCAAGATTTCGTGAATTTTCAACTCGCACAGCATACCCTAGATGAGAAAGGTTTTTATCCGGAGCTTTCGTTCGTTCGAGAAAAGTGCTTTAAAAATAGAGCAGAGTTTTACGCGTCTCATGCGTTAACCCGCTCAAGTATATCATGGAAGAAAAGTAGTACCGCACCTTTCTTAGCGGATTTGTAACACCATTTTCGAGGATCTCGATACATTTTCCAGTTTAAAACCTAAACTTGGGCAACAGTAAGTACCGTAATACGTCCGACTTTGCCGACGGTAAAAACAGCATGTCTTATTGCAAGACGCGGAATAAAAACTCTTTTTTTTAACGATTGATGAGGAAGGAAATGACTTCTCATGAATTTAACGAGGCATCCCAATTGAGCGTGAATGAAGTTACAATGTCTTAACCAAAAAAACTGCTGCATTAGTTTTATAACAAGAATAAACCAATCAAATCTTTGCATTTCATGGGTTTACGTGTATCATTTCAAGGCAAGTTCACCTTATACTGCGCAATATTTCGCAAGAAATCACGTTAATTTTCAAGATACGAGATTCATGCATGATCTACGCGTCGAAGAAATGCATTCTCAGCTCTCATTTCAACCGGATGATAAATATAATGGGTGAATGATCAATTTTAGGAATTAAGCATTGAAGGTTGAATAATAATACACTTAAATAAAGTTATCGTATCTTTAACATTTTGGACAGCGTTGTGAACAGAGTACTGTACAACAAAAGCTTTGCACAGAAGGAACATTGAACTGGTACATTTGAAGGTGGAAGGCGGTAGGAGAACACAGGGGAGTCGTGATAGTAAATCAATGAAAACGTTGAAAAGCCTGGGCTTGAAAACATCTCGACAGATCTTTTTCTTGGGAAATTCAGGCCAATTAAAAATAGATAAAGGGACTTAAATTAAAATTATATCAGCCCCATTCGCTCCACACAATAGATAAATCTTCGCACACGGTTTATAAAATTCACGGCCCATCGATCGGTTCCACATCCTGACTATATAACAGAAAATAAATTCGATCCTCCGGAGAATATGCACTAAAGGACATCAATCCCAGTGCAATACATTGCCGAGCTTGGAAACCGAACGAGCGCGAAAAAGCAAGGCGACGAAGCGAGAGCCCGCGTCGAGAATCGCCTCAGCGATTTCCGCCTTTTCCCTTCCCCGTACACGACACCCGTGCAGATGGCGTAACGTCGTGACGTCACATCAGCGACATTGTCACCGATTCGATCTGCGGAACAACCAGTTCAACGGATAAGCATGTCTCCCAGTTTGTCTCCGAAAGCCACTGACCGCAAAACGGAACATGCGCTGGCGTCATTTTGACCCCGACAACTGAAGGTGGAAATCTTTTTGTCGAAATTCAACTGCGTTCTGAATGGAAGGGAAGTCTCCCGAAAGCGTTCTTAATTACCCGATCTACAGCGTCTCACGAATCCAACGAATCCGGTGGAAAAATAAAGTGAAGTATCAGTTGAGCTCGTGTCAAAAACGGCGTGTACCCAAAAGCACGATAGTACGTAATATCATCGTATATCTGTCAACTTCAGAAAATGTTACAGTTCGGTAACAGTTTGCCAAAGCTAACATCAAGGATAAAATTAATGAAATGACCAAAATGAATAAATATTCCAGCTCCCTTTACAGTATACACTAAATACCTATGACATTGCTTTTTTTTAATTTCTTCGAGTTTTAGACGGGAAATTGCTTCGCTTCCGCACACTAAAATGTTTCTTTATCGCGTAAACGCTTGATGATCTGAACCCCTTTCTTTGCAGTACGGAATGATCTGCAAACTAGCACAAAAGAGTAGTTAACGTGATTTTAGTCCATGGGCTCGTCGGACAAATATGAGTGAGATTCGTTTTAAAGCATGAATATCCGATTACGAAATACAGTACTGTACAGTATTTGAAGGTGCTGTTCGGCAATACCATCGTTATTCCCTTCCATTTTTCATTTTTCTCCCATAAACACGCGCGCCCTTTCCGGTCGCGCACAACTGTCCAGCTAGTTCCATGAGTGTGGAAAGAGAAAACTCTGCCACTCGGACTGAAGAAAAGTTCTAAGCCCAGTGACGGGTCCGATCAAACGCTGGAATGAGCCGAATCAGAAATAAAAAAAAATGCTGTACAACAGAATCGTGAAAAATACTGTACGGTACAACACTTTTTTCTTCCGTGGACACACCCCGTTTCCGGCCGCGCACAACTGTTCGGCCACCTTCCAAGAGTGCACGGAAGAAAACTTTTTTTTCAAAAACTCCGCCACTTGGACTGAAGAGAAATTCTAATCCCAGCGACGGGTCTCAAAAGCTGGAATGAGCCTTCGCAGACCAAGAAACACGGTACGACACGTATAACTAGCACAAGTACGACTGTATACGTGTATTTGCGTGTGTGTGTGTGTGTGGTGGGGATAGGGAAGAAAGGTGAGAGCGCACATTAGCCCTCTCTCGGCTGGCTTGCTTATCGACAGCGCACACGACTGGACCAAAAAGCTCGATACGGAGATGGAAAACATCCATTCCTTTTTCCCCTCCTCTCTCCCTCTCTTTTCTCAATGTTCAGCAAATGGTTTCGCCTCCGGGGCGAACGAACTCCGCTCGGTCGCAGCAGGTTGAAGTCTGCAGAAGCGAGGCGAAGCGACAGTGAAACACACTCACTCACCCACTCGCCACCCAAAGCAACGCGCTGAACCACATTGAACAACGCTAGCAGCTTCGCGTTGGTCCCCGCGATCGCTCCAAAAACGGACGCAACGAGAAAAAAAAAAAAAAAAGCACCCGGTGCTGCACGGGTGGCTCACACCGACGCACTGACGGGCGGAGACCTCGATAGTCCACAAAGGCACCCGATGGGGGTTGCTGTGGTAGTGCGATTCACGCCCTCACGTTCCCCGACCCCAGCAGTTGCCCAATATCGTATTCGCAAGAAAACGTGACCTTGTCAACAACAACAAAACGCTCTCCTCCTGGAAAACATTTTCAGCGAACCACTACGATACGTGGCCATAGGCGACCACTGAGAATAGGCAGTGTACTGATTTCAAGTAGCCATTCCAGAGAAATCAGGGGCCCGATCGAAAAAAAATTGGGAAATTTTTTGATCCAAAAATTCGATCTCGGCAAAAGGAATAACATGCCGTCAGAAATATTTTCAATACATTTCTACTCTCAGAAACAGTATCTTTTTCAATGCGTATTAAACAAAGAACAATTATACTGTATTTTGCTACGAATTTAGTGCATCACGAATTCAGCCCGTTTTTTTCAATCTTAAAAATCCCAAAGATCACGAATACGCGGCAAATACACGAACTCAAACTCAGGACGCACTCGCAGATTCGGATATTTTCAGCGAAAAAAAAATTAGTCTACTGACAATTGTGTAAGCCCTACCGCCGAAGTGTCTTTGTGGACACTAAAATATATGTCAAGGACGACAGCAGAATATAAGGTAACCTTAGTTATCATTTCAAGATTACAGTAGGACCTTTGACATCCATGAACATCGAAAGGGCATCCTCGCAGCATGAGTCACTTACGTTTTCTTATGTGAGTCGCAATTTATTTTTACTTAGTACTGTATGTCTTGCTGATCTTGGAAAATCTGGAAAATGCAGGACCGTACATCGATTTTCGTGAGGTCAAGGATTGGCATTCGTCTGATGAAGGTTTCATCGTTCCGCGAATCAGAAAAGTGGTGGACAATGTACAAGTGCATGATTAAGAATTTTAAAGTGGATTTTCTCAAGCACTCTCAGGGACAATGAATCATAGCGATAGACCAATGGTTGAATCAGACTGAACACAAAAAATGCTGCAATATAAAGAAGACGACGGCACTTCCTCAGAAACAGTTTCAACATCATAAATCTTCCCTCAAGAATTACAGGCTACCGGTCTTGCGTAAAAAGTCCAATATTTCATCAGCAGTCTGAGCGTAAATCGATTTGCTCTCATAAATATGCGTTTAGCTCTGAACTCGAGAGAACAGCTGTATCATAGAAACGGCTAACAATCGTGTAAAGCTTGCAAGTCACAGTCGATGCCGTTTTCCCAAGTGCTCAGTATACCAAACCCAACGCCGCAAGTATGCACGGTATTTCGTGAAACCTTATTTTTATTGGATTCCCCGTGCCCCACAGTCGTAATGTTTCCGTTGATTTCATTCGAACAATTCCCATACCTCTACTTAATCGCGCACCAACCGTGTAAGAAATACCAATGCGTTTTCCACGCCAGGAATCCAATATCAATTTTTAAAGCGGTAATGGCATCAGATACGCTATTTTTGCGGTGGAAAATACAATTGACACTCAGTGAAACGCTGCAAATCTTACGATCAGAAAAGCTAAAACGAAAGGAAGTAGAGAAGTACCGTATTGTCGATAGATTTTCACGCACGGACAATCCGAACGATCAAACCACACATAAATTAGGCTTTTCATTTTCTGGATGTGACGTAGGCCAGT